TGACTCAACATAAGGGCAGGGTGAATTTCTTTAATGAACCAGAATTGGGGGCTAGTGTTGTGACATAGCAGGTAAAGCCACTGCCTGTAACACCTGCATTCCTCATGGGCATTGGTTGGAGTCTTGACTGCTCCACTTCCAATCTAGCACCCTGCTAATGAGCCTGGGAAAGCAGCAGAAGATGGCCCAAGTCCTTGGGCCCCTGGACCCACGTGGGAGACCCAGAGGAAGCTGCTGGCCTCAGCCTGGCCCAGCTGTGGCCATTGCAGCCATTTGGAGAGTGAACCAGCAGATGGAAGATCTCTGTCTCTGCGTCTCTCCCTCTCTGTCTCTGTATCTCCGTCTTTCAAATAAATAAATAAATCTTCAAAAAATTTAAAATGTCATTAAAATTAAAAAGAACAAGAGTTGGCCAACAGAGGAGCAGTCTGTCCCGTGGAGTGGTCAGTTCTCCCCTGCTGGGCAAGCTCAGCGGCTGCCGGAGAGTCCTCCCCTAGGTGGTTGGGACCGCCACGGTCCAACTCTGTTCCAGGGAAGAAGCCGCTCCAGGTCTCTGCTTCCCCATTGCTATCCCATCATCCCTCCCTCTTTTTTCGATGCCACTTTATCTTCAGGAGTCTTCACTGTTCTTGCCTTGTCAGTAGGCGATGCTCTGAACACTGAGGATCCACCTGCTGAACTTGAGTAATGGGTGTAGCAAGCTATTTGTCTGGAGTCTGCTGACCGTTTGGGAATCAACTCCTTCATGTCAGATTTTTTCTGTGCAGCCAGTTCTTCTAGCAAGTGTCGTGTGTGTGTGTGTGTGTGTGTGTGTGTGTATGTGTGCATGTGTGTGTCTGTCCCTGGCATGCCTGTGCTTGCATATAGGCATGGGGGTTGTAACTGGAGCTGCGCTCACAGTAACAGAAGCACTGTGCTCAGCGGGGTGTGTGAATGGAGGGGTAGCTGTGGCCTTCGTTACTAGGGAGGACTGGGCCCCCCTCTTATCTCCCGCCTCCCAGTTTCCTCTCCTCCATATCCACCCCTAGCCCCAGGCTCAGTCCTCAAGGTTAATTTCCCTGACAGCAGCTGTGCCTCCATCCTCCTCCTCCGCCCGCCTCCTGCTTGCGCACATGCATGGGCTTTGAGTTATGTGCCTCCTGTTCTAATGAGATAAACAACCCAAGTCTCATGAGGCTCTGCTGCTCCCTCCACAAGTGCAACTCCAGGGCCGAGTGTGTTGGCCCTTTATAAAAGAACCCTGGTGCCTGGCAGCTTAGCAAGCAGGGCAAGGAAGGGGGTTAGGAGTCCCAGGAGGGTTCTTGGGAACATTTGCTTGTTGAGGCAGGGTGGATTCAAAGCAGACATCCAAGGGAGGTCTGCTCCCACCCTCTCGGCTGGAGGACCAAACAGCAGCATCGGTGAGTGGCGTGGGCAGGGTGCAAGGCTCCTCCAGGTCAGCCAACTCATGACACTTGTCTCATCTTCATGGCTAGCGAGTGCTGGCCCCCGTGGAGGTCCCTGGACGGTGGGTGTTCGTCGTGCCCTGGTCCTACGGGCGAGGACTCAGGCCCAGGAAGGAGCTGGGATGTTTCCCGGCACTCACGTGCTGTGCGTCTGTTCTGTGGAGCTGTCCCAACCCACCAGAGAAGGAAGGAGACAAAAGCAGTCCCCTATTCTGGGTGTTCAGATTACCCAGCTCCCAATGGCTCTCCCAGGACCGTGCTCCTGCAGCCCCGTGCAGAGAAGCCTGGAGGTCGCTGACCCACAAGCACAGTGACTCAGGGAGGACATAGGAGCTGGACAAGTGTTGACAGCTTTGAACTTTTCCTGCTTTGACATTTTGAGAGTTCTGGTCTGCACCAGCTCCTTTTTACTCTCCAGCTTTTGGTCAGGTTGGAAAACCCATGAAGTAGCCTGCAGGGCAGGAAGGAAGCCAAAGGCACAGAGCCTGCCATGCTGGGGCTGGTGGGTGGGCTTTGGGCACGGTTTTTCTTTTTAGTTTTTATTTATTGGAGAGACAGGGGAAAAGAGAGAGAAACATGCACGCACGTGCACACACACAGAAAGGGAGAGAGAGAGGCTGAGAGAGTGCTCCACGCCTGAAACAATGGGGGTTGAAGCCAGGTCTCCCACATGGGTGGCAGGACTCAGTCACGTGAGTGATCCCTGCCGCCTCCCAGAGCCTGCATTAGCAGGAAGCTGGAGTCAGGAGTTGGAGGCGGGTGTCAAATCCAGTCATTCCAATATGGTATGCAAGCATCTTAGCCACGAGGCCAGATGCCTGCCCTGGACTGAGTTCTGAGCCCATTTTCTGGAAGCCCTCTGGGATATCTTGGACCTGGGTGGGTAAGTCTCTTGGAGCCAGGATGAGCCTGGCTTTGTTTTGTATGTTTCCGAGACCAGTTCTGTTCCGGTTGGATTTATTTGGTACAAATTCCTTGCTCTGCCAACTACTGTGTGCTAAACGTTGAGGATCCTGGAGATGAACACGGTTTCTGCCATGCTTGATCTTACAAAAACAGTAGGGGAGACAATCTAGTAGGCAGGCAATTAATTCAGATACCTTGGGGGAAATACAGGGCACCTTGGGATCCTACAGGAAAGACCATCAAGCCAGGCTTGGTGCATCAGAGAAAACATGCTGGCAGTAGCTTGGCGATGCTCAGACAGCCAGAAGTTCACAGTCAGATGTTGCCAAACCTATAAAGTTCTTTAAAAATTAGGTTCCCAATTCCCCCACCTATCTACATTCAAATCAGACAGGGCTGGCCTGGATTTAGGACTCTGGTGTTTTTGAAAAGTTCTCCAGGTGGTTTTGGTTTCAGTCTAGGTTAACAATCACTAACCCGGGCTGGCGCCGCGGCTCACTAGGCTAATCCTCTGCCTTGTGGCGCCGGCACACTGGGTTCTAGTCCCGGTCGGGGCACCGGATTCTGTCCCGGTTGCCCCTCTTCCAGGCCAGCTCTCTGCTGTGGCCAGGGAGTGCAGTGGAGGATGGCCCAAGTGTTTGGGCCCTGCACCCCATGGGAGACCAGGATAAGCCGTGGCTCCTGCCATTGGATCAGCGCAGTGCGCCGGCTGCAGCACGCTGGCCGCGGCGGCCATTGGAGGGTGAACCAACGGCAAAGGAAGACCTTTCTCTCTGTCTTTCTCTCTCACTGTCCACTTGGCCTGTCAAAAAAAAAAAAAAAAAAATCACTAACCCAAGATGAGTGAGGATTAACAAGACCAGTTCTGGAATGTGGAGTGGTGGGTCGGCCCCTATGTTTGGCCTTCTCTGGGGTCCTGGGGAACACCACCCGGGAGGTAGGGTGAGCATCTGGGAGGGCCCTGGAAGCAGCACAGTGTGACAGGATCAGAGATGACCCCGTCCCAGAGAGAGCCACACCAGCAACACTGCGCTCTTGCCAGTGATGCCTTCCCTCCACGAGCGGCCTCGGTGGGCTCTCCCGTGGGTGGGAGCACGCACTCTGGCTTTAGCTGATCCACTTGGTTTTCTGTGAATCCTCAGCGGCACAGGCTCTTCCTCCTGTGCAGCGGCCCGTGAAACAGGCCCACTCTAGTCTCTACCTCGATGCTTTCCCACACTCCGAGGGGCAGGGATCCGAACCTCCAACTTGTCCAGTCTCCCGCCCTGGGGAAGCAGCTGTGTGATCCAAACTATGTCAGCCCATGAGGAGACCAGGACATTTTGGTTTCCTTACTATGGATACATAGTGACGACACCTGTTTAGATGTTCTCTATGCAGACACAACAGGAAGTCAGTTTCCCCTCTTGACTTGTCAGGGCCCTGGAATGGAAGACAGCGGATGGGAACAGGGCCCTGGCACTTTCTGAGTTCCAGGGTCCTAGCGTGGGTGCTGACACTCTCTTGGGAGGCCATCTGCATCTGACAGCTGTCACAGGCCACATCCGTCTACGGGTCACAGAGTTGTGGCTTCCAAGGGGGGCTTGAACCTGTTCCTTCGTTCAGCAAATTCTCTGGTTTTTCTATGTGTTTGGCACAGTTCTGGTTCTGGGGATTCTGATGAGGACGAGACAGACAAGTCCCTGTTCTCACGGGGCTTTTCTGTCTACCAGGGTTTGGTTGGTGGCTCGCTGGCTTCTTGTAGGGGACATCAGAGAGTCTTTTCAGACTGTGAGTCAGCTTGTGGATCTGAAGTACCATCCTTGTCTCCCCTGGGCCCTGCCCTTTCCTCTGGGGACGACTGTGGTCTTGGGTGGTGAGTCTGTGTCCCGCTCTGGCCTCTGGCTGCCCCACTGTGTGCCACAGGAGCCACATGAGTGTTGTGTGAGGAGCAAGAAGGCTCCTCCTGGGGTACTTTGCATGACAACAATGTGATGCTGGTGATGCCAAAAGCCCGGGACAGGGCGACTGTCACTGGGAGACGGCGTGGAACCCGAGCCCAGCCTGTGGATTGTGTACGGCTGAGGCAGGTGGGCAGGGATGTGCAGGTGTGCAGGCCCGGGCAGGTGGCAGGGTTGTACACAGAACCTGGTAGTGTTGGCTTAGGTGGGCTTCTGTGAGCAGCCAGCAGCTAACAGCCGGTACAGGAAGCCACTGTAAGTAGATGTGGCTCTTTTGATCCTGGAACCTTGAAATATTTCTCAATCCAGGCAATCCCAGTGAACCCACTGGCTCCTTCTGCTCCACTGTGAAGGGAGCCTGCGTAGCAGGAGGGACAGTGGCTTGGAAACGCTGTGCCGAGGGGACTCTGCAAAGGTTTCTCTTGGGGACTCAAGGTCCCTGTGCTTTGTTCCTTGGGCTAGGACCTCACAGCTGGTCTTGGTAGAGGTGCTGGGTGTTTCTGCAGTGGGCTTCCTGAACAGCGCCCTGGAGCAGAGAGTCAAGGTCCTGGGGCCAAATGGCATAGGTTCCACCTTGACTCTACTTTCAGCCAGCTGTGTGACCTTGACATATCACTTCACCTCTCTTCTGCTCTCTGTGAGTGACTGATCTAGTCAAAGGCCCCCTTCCAGTCTGGGGCCTTTAATCTTTCATTGTCTCTGTCCACAGGCCTCGCCCCAGGCCAACTGTACACATACCCTGCCCGCTGCTGGCGCAAGAAGAGACGATTGCACCCACCCGAAGACCCAAAGCTGCGGCTGCTAGAAATAAAACCTGGTGAGTTCCCATGGGGAGAGGCGGGGGTGGGGTGGGGAGGGGGGCTGGCTGGGCCCAGGACGAGGTGCGTGGAGCCGACTTTTCCAGGAGAGTCAACACGCATGGTGCTTGGAGGTGAGTCGCTGTGCTTGCTTGTGGGTGTGAACAAGTCCACCTGTCTCCCTGAGCTGCTGTCCCCTCTCAGTGTCTGGTGCCTTCTCCTCTGTCTGCTCTCTTGCCACCTGATGGGAGCAAAGCAAGCAGCAGCAGGAGCAGCAGGCTCAGGGTGGCTTACCTTCCCAGCAGAACCCAAGGAGCTGCTGCGCTTGGGGGTCATGTCGTGCCTTCCCTCTGGCTTCAGGCAGACCTGCCGTGTCCCAGGTTGTATGTTCCTGAGCCTGCGCCGTGGACCTTGGCTCTCCTTGCCACACTGTGTATAAAGTTGTGGAGGATCTCACATGGAGGAAGGCCAGTTTGCTAAACATAGAACTCACCTTGGGCATAGGGAAGAGTTCAGGTCCACAATTTACTTCCAGGTCATGCAGTTTGCTTTGTGGCCATGCGGAAGCAATTGGTTGGTTTCTCTTCACTGCTGATCTGCAGGGCTCTACTACAAGGCCATGGAAAATGTGTATTATGAAAAAAATGTGTGGATTTTAAACATTTTTGCACCAAGGCAACTATCCTTTATTTTACTATTGCTGTTATTATTTCTATTAATTTTTGAATTTATTTTGAGCAAGAGAGAGAGAAATATCTTCCATCTGCTAGTTCACTTCTCCAGTTCCCACCATGTCTGGGGCTGGGCAGAGGCTGTAGCTGGGACCTGGGAACTCATTCCAAGTCTCCCAGGTGGATGGCAGGAATCCAGTTATTTGACTCATAACTGCTACCTCCTAGCAGCTGGGTAGCAGGCATCTGGAGGCAGGAGCCAGAGCTGGGCATCAAACGCAGGCAATCTGACGTGGGGCACAGGTGTCCTAACCACTAAGCCAAATGCCACTCCCTGCACTCACCTTTTAATTCCATTTTACTGCAGACTTTTTGAGGTACCCTTGTAGTATCACACTTCTAACTACGTGGCCATCTTCAGAACAGCGTCTGGGTTACAGCAAGGCCAAGTGCTAACCTGAGTCTTTGGCTTTAAGGGAACCTCTGTTCTGGGGGGGCTGGGGTGTGACTCAGGGTGATGGGAGCAGTGCAGTCCATGCAGTCCAGCGGTGCACATACAGAGCTGACAGTTTCCCCCCGTCACCGAGGCATTGCAGATGGCAGTGGCTGCTGTCTGGCAGTCCCCTTTCTCCTCCCTTCCCATGCTGACCTCTGACCTCACTGTTACCTCTGACCCCTGAACTGGCAGTCCCCTCACTCCTTCCTTCCCACACCTGAGGCTGTGTTTGCTTTGCAAAATCTCTACCCACCGGTGGTCACTGGGGATGTTTCCACTCACAGGTCACAGTTAAGGTAGATTTGATTGTTGGCTTCAACCCTGATTTCACTGGCCTGGCAGTTTAATGTGGTGGTGGGGTGGGGTGGGGCTAGATTCTTCCGTGTGCTCGATGCAAGTTCTCAGATGTCCTTACACAACTTATGGATCCTCACAAATACTCCAGAGTGATGACTGGGGTTGTCCTGCCCTCCTACCCCCTAGAGTGACAGGGTCCAGGAGAAATACAAGTATAATATGAGCCACATGCGTCATTTTGCATTCTCTAGTGGCCACATTAAAAAAAGGAAGAAGGAACAGGGGAAATGAATTTTAATAGTGTATTCTGTTTAACCCAACATATCAAGAATGTTATTATTCCAACGTGTCATCGACATAAAAATTATGAGTGGGGACTTTTGTATTCTTTTCTCTTAGTGTTTTTGAATTCCAGTGTGTATTTTATACTTCCCCACATTTCATTTTGGACTGGCTGCATTTCAAGTGCTCGAGAGCCACATGTGGCTGGTGGTACCGTATGGTCAGTGTGATTCTAGACCCACGCTCAGTGTGTGGTCCTGACCCACTGCAGCAGCCTCACCTTGGGCCTCACCCCAGGCTCGTGGAGTCAGACTCTGCATCTCACCGGGACCCCCAGGAGCTTCCCCCAGAATGCGCACTGCAGCGTGAGACGCGTTGGTCTTGAACTCTTACCTGCAGCTGGGCCACATCTGTGTTTCTTTAGCAGGCATAAAGAATTGTTGACAGGAATGGGTCCTTTTTGGGGTCAGGGCTCCCTCCTTCCTTTCCTAGCTCTGTTATCCGTCCTGATCTAGTGGCTGTGGCATGGGTGAGTGATGAGGTGACCCCTGGTTTAACTCTCACCTGAGCCACTTCCATTCTGCCCCCTTCACATTGCTGGGTGGATGCTGTAGTGACGACCCAGCACCTGCCCGGTGGCTTCTGTGGGCTGAGGGAGGCTGTGACACAGGCGTCCACCCCTCTCTGGCTCTGACCTCTGGGTGTATTTCCCCGTCTGTAATATAAGCACGGTGGCTCCTCTGCAGCTACACTTGCAGGTCCATTATGAGGGTCAAGCAAGCCATTTAGATTAAAAAAAGAAGAAGAAGAAGATAGAAAAAAAAGCCCAAGTCAGATCTAATTTTTAAAAAAGATTTATATATTTATTTATTTATTTATTTATTTATTTGAAAGGCAGAGTTGACACACACACACACAGATCTTCCATCCACTGGTTCACTGCAATGTCAGGATCTAGGCCAAGCCAAAGCCAGGGGCCCAGAATTCCATCCAGGTCGCCTACATGGGTGGCAGGGGCCCAAGGACCTGGGCCATCTTTTGCTGCCTTCCCAGGCACATTAGCAGGGAGCTGGATTGGAAGTGGGGCAGCCGGGATGCCAGCGTTGTGGTTAGTCTATCCATGTGCCAGGAATCATGTCTATATAATTTTATCTTCTTCCTGCTCTTCTTTTTTTTTTTTTCCTTTGGTTTGTCTCTTTAAAAAAAAAAATCTCATTAACATAAACTCTACGTATTTATGGGCCTCAGGGAGACGTTGCCATATATGTATATAGTACACACTGATCAAAGCAGAATAATCAACATGTGCCCCTCGTCCTCCTTCTCAACACAGCACGGTCACTGTGCATTTTGCTCTTTCTACTTTAAAATGTACCTTGGATGTTGGATATATCAGTAAATAGTGTCCTTATTTCTTTTTTATTATTACATAATATTGCATTGTGTGACTGTACTGTAATTTGTTTAACCAGGCTGTTCCAAATTTTTGTTTCTAATTCTTTCCAACTCAACCAGTGATGTGATACATATTTTGCACGTATATGAGGACATCTTATATGTAATTTGTCAATGTAAGAATTTGAAAAATATTTATTTATTTGAGAGGGAGGGGGAAAGAGTGAAAAATTCCCTTCCACAGGTTCACTCCCAGATGCTCATAATTGGGCTGAGGCTGCAGCTGGGAGCTGGAAAGAAAATCCAGGTCTCGCATGAGGGTGGCAGGGTCCCAGTCCCTTGAGCCTTCACTACTGCCTCTCAGGGTCTGCCCTGGCAGGAAGCGGGAGTCAGGAGCCACAGGTGGGAATCGAACCCAGGCACTCCAGTGTGGGACATGGGCGTCTTTTTTTTTTTTTTTTTTTTAACATAAAGATTTAGTTATTTATTTGAAAGCTAGAGTTACAGAGAGGCAAAGAGAGAGAAGTCTTTCATCTGCTCGTTCACGCCCCAAATGGCCGCAATGGCCAGAGCTGCACCAATCCGAAGCCAGCAGCCAGGAGCTTCTTCGAGGTCTCCCACATGGATGTAAGGGCCCACACACTTGGGCCATCTTCCACTGCCCTCCCAGGCCATAGCAGAGAGCTGGATCGGAAATGGAGCAGCTGGGACACGAACTGGCACCCATATGGGATGCCGGCACTTCAGGTGGTGGCTTTACCCACCACGCCACAGCACCTGGCCCAGAACATGGGCTAAATGCTTTCCCTCCTGCTTTTGAAATTAATTTGAGAAGCAGAACGAGAGAGTTAGGGAGGCGGGGGGAGAGGCATTTTATTATAAACACTTGCTGTTAATTTTAAACTATTAGTCTTAATTCTTAACATTTACATTAAAAGTCTTCATTAAGAACACTAAGTATATCACACTAATTGGGTCTTCTTTCACCAAAACACGGGCGTTTAGCACTATAAATTACCTTAGATAACAGTAACTCTAATTCTGTATTATAATGGGATGCAGGTAGGTTAAGAAACGTGTTCAAGATCATACAGCCATTTCTGTGGCTCCCGCAGAGAATCTAGATGGCGTGATCTCCTTGTTGAGGATTCCTCTGCTTCCCTATGTTGCTGACAGGTGCACTAACTTGAGGGAACTTTGCACGGCGCAGGTGTTTGTTTTAGCAGTTAAGACACTGCTCGGGACACCCACATCCCACGGGTGAGGGCCTGGTTTCAGGGCCTGGCTCTGCTTCTCATTCACCTTCTTGTAAATGTGCACTCTGGGAAGGCAGTAGGTGATGACTCCCATGATGTGGGAGACCCAGAGTGAGTTCTGGGCTCCTGGCTTCAACCTGCCCCAGCCTTAGTGTTGTAGGAATTTAGGGGATGACCAGCAGATAGAAGGTTTCTCTCTCTCTGTTCCTTTCAAATAAGAAAAACAAAATTTTTAGATAAGAAATTTTAACAAGGGTTTTCTGTTACAGATTAATTTTACGTTTATAAAACTGATGTGTATTAATTATTAAAATATAACAAGAGATAATTAAGATTCCCGCATTCATAAATGTTAGAAGCTCAAATACAACTAGTCTAAGGGAAGAAAGGGAAGTCGGCTCATGAAAGAGTAAATCCCAAGGTTCACCTGGCTTCAGGCACAGCTGCATCCAGGCGCTCAGACATGCAGCAGTATGGGCTGCATTTCTCTTCACTGGACACAGGTGTCTGCCAGCGGCTGCAAGTCAGTAGGTCCTGTGCCCAGCAGAAAGGCTGTCCCCTTCTGCAGCTGTGGCAGAGACATCCCGGGCAGGACGGCCTTGCTGGCTGGGTTTGTCACTACA